TTTGTCATTACTTAACCAGATAAGCCTCCATGTGGGATTTTTTGTATGTTTTACTTTTTCTGTGGACATTGAATCTTAGAAGAAAGTTTGTCTTGCTCCATTAATAATTAGACATCACAGTGTGCTTATTGGATAGGAATGTGAATCATTTGTATATTATTTTAACAAATGCTATGTAACATCAAATTCTCTTTTTTATTTTTAAATATAGCTTGTAGTTTAGAACCATTTTTTTTTTTAGTATATTGGGGTGACATTGGTTAATAAAATTATATAGATTTCAAGTGTACAATTCTATAATGCATCATCTATACATTGTATTGTGTGTTCACTACCTCCAGTCAAGTCACCTTCCATTAAATTCTAACTGGCAATACTATTGTCTCATCCCAGTGCATGGTCTGGAGTTGCCCTGTCTAATTTGATAGCCCCTAGCCGTATGTGGCCCTTGAAATGTGACTAATGTGACTGAGGAACTGAATTTTTTATTTCATTGAATTTTAATAAATTGAAATTTTAGTTTAAATTCCCAGATGTGGCAAGTGGCTAGTGTGTAGGATAGCACAGACCTAGAGCAAAAGTGTTTAATTGATCTGGTTTAAACTAATTCTATTAAATGAAAACTCTTACACTATAGTTTAATTATAGGTTTCTGTTTATATAGTACTTACTTTATTTAATGAAATGCTTACTTGTTTGGTTCAGGATTTATATTCTACTGTGTTTGTTGGGACTGCCGACTCTCTGCGGAATATAGTGGGAGAGATGGACATGAGTGGCAGAGCATGACCACCCTGAAGGCTGATTTATGTGAACGGGGTTAAGACAATACAGGAACCAGGACCTCAATTTTATGGGCAGCAAAAGCCCTAAACACAGTTCTTAAGGCATTAACCTTTCACAGTGCTCTGAGACTGTGTTTATTCTAAAAAATTCACAGGCATTGTATCTACTATAAGAAGACCTGGAAAGAGAAATAACTCCAGGAATCTAGTATTTGCAAATTTATTTAAATGAACAAAAGAAAATAACAATGCTCTTAACTGCACTAGGACAGTTTTTTCTTTCAAATTTGATTTGATTTTATAACCATTTTGATAGTTTCAGATTCCCAAGTTGGCTTTTAAGTTTTCTTGAAAAGAGTATCTTTTTAAAATTATTGTATCATTGTAGAATGTGTAGAGACAGAGCATTCTTGAAGCTTGAAAAATACTCAAACTTAGATTTTCTGTAAAATATGTTAATATTAAGCACTTGCTTTACCTCATAGAAAGCATGGCATTTGTTTATTGTGGAAAGAATATTTAACATGAGATCTACCCTCTTAATTTTAGGTGCACAATAAGTATTGTAAACTGTAGGCACAAGGTTGTTCAACATATCTCTAGAATGTATTTGTCTTGCATTAACTGGTACTTTATAACAGCTGAATAGCAACTCCCTGTTTTCTTCTCTCAGCTCCTGTCAGCCACCAGTCTATGCTTCTCTAAGTTTGACTAATTTTTACTACTGGTCATAGAGAACCTGGAATTACAAAGACTCAAACATTTTCCCAACGTTCTAAGCAGTCTGCAGTAGCTGGCCCCTGGGATCAATTCAATGGCTATTTGATGGCCAAGTCTACATCTATACAGCTTTCTCAAGCATTTCCTCATGCTTGTCCTATCCTGGTTCATATGGCTGCTGTAGTTTCATCCATCACAACCATGTTCCAGGCAACAAGACGGTGGTGGGCAAGAATCATGCCATGTCTACCTCTTTATCAGGAAATCACAATTTCTCAGAACTGTCCCCTTCCTCCCATGAGACTTTCACACCCCCTTCTGCTGCCCTTCACTCACCAAAAAAAAGAAAGAAAAAGATTTTTATTAGCAAACTACAAGGAGTGAATAAACGTTGAGGAGACAGCGCTGGTTATTCAAAGTATTTTCTGAGGTTAAATTCGGTAACTGGCAAGAGAGGAATGTTAGGGTGTTCCTAAACACAATGAAGGCAGGATGCTGAGGAGTCATTGTTCATGAGTAGCAGTTTTACAGAGAGTAAGAGCTGTCCAGAAAAATACGATTATTAAGATAGAGCACAGAACATTTGACATTTAATCTTATCTTTAGGTTTCGGCAATTAAACCTCATGATTTGGAAGCCATCAAGGCATTAAGTGTTGAGGTTGTCTGTTTTCCTGTGTCACTATACATTTGAAGTAGGTTTGTTTGTACTGGTTCTGCATGTCACTATCATAGCATGTGGTTGAGCAAGAATGTAACATTCTTAACTTTTTGCATCTTAAATTCTAATGGTGAAGAACTTGCACTTGTCAGTTTGAGTAGTTATTTCTAGCTTAAACATGGTCAATTCAAGATTAAAACATCATTAATTAAAGATTCTTCATGCTTCCCCTCCTTTTACTCCAAGTTGATCTAAGTTCTGTGGAGATTTGCACCATTAGTCATTTACTCTAAGACATTAATTTTAAGCTGTAGCACTAAGAAAGAAAAAAATACTCAATTTAATTATGAAACAATATAATGCTATTTTTACTTAATATAGGGATCATGCAGGGCAGCCTGTCAATACACCTAAAGTATTTGTCAATTTCTTCTGCCATCATGTGCATTTCTTGGTGTGTAATAGTCTCCTTTAGAACAGAAATTAACAAAGCTATGTCTACCAGAAATATCTTCCCATTTAAAATAAATGTTTTTTTGGCAAAAATACGGAATTGACACCACTGTTTTAGTGACAGACATTTGTGTACTGACATCAAATTATAGCCTACTGTTATCTTTCATAGCTTTCTACATATATAACTTTTGCATCAGTGATGATTCATGATACTATATTTTGAAGGCATTTTAAACATTATTAAACTCATCCTTATAAGACTAACAACTCAGTGGGAATAACAATACAAAGAGCTTCAGTCAGTTTTGTGCACATACGGGCGGTACCAGTGTGACACAGTTCTAAGATACCGTCAATTGGGAGATGAATCCCAGATTCAAAGATGTTAAAATATGTAATATGTGTTTTAGAAATTGTGAAGTATAGTGCCATGCATAAGAGAGGGTACACTTGCAGCCCTGCTTGGTTTGGGGGCTTTAGCCTCTATCCCTGCTTTTTCTGTCAAAAGCCTCTTATTAACAGGTCCACACAAATTACACTGTGTATTCCTGGTGTGTTTCTAATCTTCTCTGATTCTACCAGATATATATATGTATATTTTTTTTTCCAGACATCAGGAACTCTTGGGTTTCTTACCCTGTACCATGTTAATAAATGCACCACATTTTTCAAATTGCTGTGAGATTTCTGAGAAACTGAGTTAGGGATAGAAATATAGGAGATTTCACTGAGGAAGTGATAATTGGGTTGTAGTTATTTTTAAAAATATGAAAGAGATTTGCCCTGACTGGTATGGCTCAGTGGATTGAACACAGGCCTGTGAACCAAAGGGTCACTGGTTCAATTCCCAGTCAGGGCACATGTGTGGGTTGCAGGCCAATTCCCTGGTGGGGGGCACTTAAGAGGCAACCACACACACTGATGTTTCTCTCTTTCTCCCTTCCCCTCTGTCTAAAAATAATAAATAAATAAAATCTTTTTAAAAAATGCATAAGAGATTCAAATAAGAGTATTATTTCAAGCAGAGCTGAAAACATGAGTCAAGGAATGTCCTGGCAAGAGTGTGTGCATGTTGTGAGCTGCCACAGAACACATGACATGTGAAAGGATCATAACACATCAGTCAGATTTTGGGACCAAATCATGAAGAACATGTTAAAAAGCAACAGATTAAGGATTTGGATTTTGCTATTTGTAAAAATGGTTTGTAGTGAAGGAGTAATAGCATGAAATTTATTTTCTAGGAAAATGATTTTGTTGATCTTGTAAAAATGAACTAGAGTTAGAAATAAACTAAGGTCCAGTCTTTTGAAGTTGTTTCAGTGGTTCGGTTGAGAGCTGTCAAAGCAAAAGCAAAGGCTAAAAGGGAAAGAAAGGGTTGTATAAAATGAGGACTACATATTAATTGTGTTTTAATAACCTTCAACATCTTTTTGAAAAAGCTTAAATTATCCCCAAATTAAAATATATTACAATCTCATTAGCCTATAACAATCTAGAGATTAAGATTGCTTACTAAAGATTTAAATAAAACAGCAAGTTGGAAGAGAGCATTACTCATTCTCAAACGTATCACCCTTGAATTTGTAAATGTTGGTGATTGTAAGAAAAGATTAGGTTAGCCAAATTAGCACACCTTTGGCCATTCTTTTAGTTTGCCTAAATGCCTTTGGTTGTACTCACTCTAATCAGCAGAAGTTTCTTAGAAGCTATGATTTCAATTAAGTAACAGTAAACCCTGGTGTATAATTAGAATTAATGTCTGTAAAAATGTATGTGGTGAAAGTAGGAATTCTTTTGACCATAAACTAGTCAGTAAAGGAAGAAAATGAGCAAACTTGCCCCATTATATGTTTATGGAAGACCTTATCTTTGGTTTGGATGAATTCTGTTACTGTGTTATAAATATTAGAAGCAGTTTTTTGTTTAGTAGAGTATATGCTTCCAGGCCTGCTGCTTCAATTGATTCTTGTTTCTGAAGATTTAGAAATACAATCAGTTTGTATTGTAAATACAAAGAATTGTATTTACAGAAATTATAGACACAAATAACTGTATTTTATACTTAAGTCAATTAAAGTCATTTATGAATATTATATGAGGGCGTAACTTGCTAAAACTATGAACTATTCTTTAATTACCTACACTAGTTACATATAAAACCCCTTTAAAAAATGAGAATTACAATGTAAACTATTGTATCTGATATAATTAGTATCAACAAAGCCATCACCTATTTTATTGGTGTCATTTATTATAATTCCCTTAGATTAAGTACTTTCATTATCTTCTTGCCACTCGAAATCTTTGGGAATATTTTAAAATAGGATTAAATTCATTCCAGGATGAGCATTTAATGGTATTTTATTTTTCTTGTAGATAAGACTGTGCCTTTTGCGAAGATTTCATCTTTCTACAATGAAGAGCAGAATTTTTGTGTTTAAGGAATAAGAAGCCACTTTATCATTGGGGGGGGTATTTAAGTCACATATATTATGACAGCTCTTAATTTGTTATTGCCATAAATACTATATTGTTTTACTATGTTTTTGTATATATATACATATATATATATATAGAAGTGCTCTTAATGGGCTTAGAGTTATTTGGAGTAAACTGTACTATAATGGACATCTGTTTGAAAGGTACTTTAAAGCAGGGTGTTCTCTGATCAGTTTTTGTTTCCCACTTACTATATTATTGGAAACTGTTTTATATACTAATGACTTTGTTTGTTTGATTTTGCGGGTTAATTATTTTTTTCCTGGAACTATAAATTCCAACAACTAACTGCTGTATAAAAAAATTAAAAATTTCTTTATCAAGATGTATTTCCCATTATTGTGAGGGAAAAAAGCCAAATTTATTACTTTGCCTTTGGGTCTTTTAAATATTGATAAATGTGTGAGTTGTATATGGAAAACAATAAATATGATTTAAAATTATTTTAAGTGGTGCAGACAGAATTGTTTATAAAATAAACCCATACTATTGAATTATTATATATTAACATGCATTTTATATGATTTCTAAAAAAATCTGTCAAAGGGTTATTACATTTTAGCAAATTTCTTATTGAATCAGGATATCTACTTTGATTAGATATTTCAGAAACCAGTAAATTTCAAAGCCGATATTTTTATTAATAGTACTGAGAAATAAAAATGACAAACATTTTAATCATATTACAGTATAGGAGAGTAAGGAATTAAAGTGCATCAAGTAAGAGTCAGAGAGACCTGGATGCAAAAAGTGATTTTATCATCTCTGAACGAATTGTTGAGCTTCAACCTTATCGAGCTTCAGTTTTTCACATTCTAAAAATTAGAGGAGAACTTATAGCAAAAGCACAGATCACACACTCAGTTTCTTACAAGGGACAGGGAAGTCATTTAAATGTGTGTCAGTCAGGATAGGTTTAAAAGGAGTGTCTAACCTGCAGACTGTGGGCTTCGTGCAGCTCAGGGTGGCTATGAATGCAGCCCAACACAAAATTGTAAATTTATTTAAAACATTATGAGATTTTTTTTGTGATTACATGTCACAGTGTATTTAATGTGTGGCCCAGGACAACTCTTCTTCCAGTGTGGCTCAGGGATGCCAAAAGGTTGAATACTCCTGTCTAGAACATATAGTAGTCCCCGTCTCACAGTGGGTTACAACATAGCTTTTTTCCCCCCTCACACTGCCCATTTGTTATGGACTGTGATTCTGCTCTTTGCTGTCTTTTCTCGAGAGCCAAAGTCAATTCCAAACCTCTGCCTGGAATATTGCCTTATAGCTGATGGTCAGACATGGTGAAGGGCATGCCAGTTCATAAGTTTCTCCCCTAAAGTACATTTTATCTTAAGGCCACATATGAGTTCTACAAGGCAAGGATGGGTAATCTAGCAATGAGATGAGTTGGAGATTTGGCCACCCAAAATGCCTCCTTAGGTTTACCTGTGTGTTAACTGGCATACCACGATGAGTCAAGTCTACCCATGTCAGTGTGTTTGTGTATATTGTGTAAGCAGGGATTAAAGCAAAAATACATTTCCTCTTCTAAAGGGATCAGCTTCTGTTCAGCTCTCACCAATGGTTACTAAGAGAGAATACTTGCCTGGTGTTGCTAAATCTTTTAGTTTTAATTTTCAAGAGAAGTTAGACTCCATATTTCCTATATGAAGTTTCCTTATTTGAAAATATTATTAGAACATATTTTTGAATTACATGTAGCCCCATACCTACCATTTTGTTATATTTGAAAAGCATATACTATAGGACCTTAGAAAGTAATTATTAATATCATTCATTTAATAATAGTTATTTATAAACTTTTATGTTAAAAGTAAGTGTAGGTAAGAATTAAATCTGTTGGAGAATAAAAATCCTAATTATTAAGATAAAGTAATGATTATTTTCATAAATGATTTTTAAGTTGGGTTTAAAGAGGATGTTACCAAAAATGTTTTAAGCAGTGGGGGCACTTTATTAGCAATACAATTTCTCAGCTGGTGTAGCTCAGTGGATTGAGTGTAGGCTGTGAACCAAAGGGTCGCCAGTTCAATTCCCAGTCAGGGCATATGCCTGGGTTGTGGGCCAGGACCCCAGTATGGGGTGCGCGAGAGGCAACCACACAATGATATTTCTCTCCTCCTTCACCTTCTCTTCCCCTCTCTCTAAAAATGAATAAATAAAATCTTTAAAGAAAAAGAAATACAATTTCTCTTGGTGACCACTTCAACTGAATGTGGAAATACTGGCATGTTTGTTAAAAATGCTTTTATTTCATTACTTTTATATAGTCATTCTTGAACTGCAAATCCACTATTATAATCATCGTAATAAGCCATACTTTGATTAAAGTGCTAGACAATATGCCAGATTTTAGCTTCATTAGATATGGTAGGATTTCACCTACAAAGCTATATATGTACATTATGAAATAGATGGTGTTATCTTAGATGTTGTGAAAACATGTTCCTATTCTTCCTTCCCATTTTGTACTTCCTTTTGGCTATTTTATTGGCAAGAACCTAACCTAGAAATTACAGCTCAATGGACACTAATGTAATTGTGTTCTAGCTCAGGAGACAAGTAACTGGAGAGAAAGGGTAGCTTCTAAGTAATTTATAGATATTCTACACTTCAACTAGAAGTTTCTGACCAACCATTGTATGGGGCTAGTAAAGCAAGTTGCTCCTTTCAGCCTAGTTTCTCTCGATTATTAGGTAAGTAACCACTATGGTGAAAATTAAACCCTTGAGCTGGGTGGGTGCTCAGCTTCCACCTTGCCAGGTTCTAGCTGGTTTGGGGGTTTAGTTACCTTACCAAGGATGTAATCTGTTAACCTTTTGTCACTTACCCTCTTTATTTAATTTTCCTTTGCTACTTTAATTTTAATTTTATTTGCTTTCACTTATTCAGTATAGCTTTACCTAATTTACTTTTTTTAGGGGAGCAATAAAGGAAAGGGAGTTATTTTCTCTCATGTTAGGAGTTAAAAAGATTGAAAGAATGAGTGCAGTGAAATAATCCATTCCATAAACATATAATTGGAATACTTATTTCCCTGAATACTCCTCTAGCTACACCATCACTTTCAAGGGTGGCTTTCATAAACAGCTTTACTTCAGTGCCTTACAAGAATCAAGCAGAAATTATTACCAATACAGAAGCTGTGCTTGTTTTACTAAGATACGTTTTCATTTTTCCTTTCATTTCACAGTATCAGTCCTTATATCAGAAGTTGAATATTGAAAACCACAGTTTTCAATATGTTTTGCCTGCCCAGGACAACATCATTTTACAAGAAAGGAATAATGGTGGAAGGGAAGAAATTAGGGGAGGGACACTCCCCAAAACTTCCATGTCTGGCTGGCTGAGAAAGCAATAATGTTACATGTTCCATGAAAAGATCCTAGTGCAGAACCACAGTGTAGGATCTCTAGCCAGGTTTCTGGCTGTATTTTTGCTTCACACTTTAAATATCTGTTTTTATTTGGGTTCTCTGTATTCTTATAATACAGGTTCCTTCAGTACCCATGCCATATCACCAGAAATAAGGCAAAATTACTCAGATACCTTTCTCAAATAGCCATTTAAAGCACACTAAACTGAACATCTCTGATTGTTAATTTCTCTTAATCTGCCATGCTCACCCTCTTGCCTGAAGAAAATTCTTAACAGAGAGGAGTGTAACTCAGGCTGTTTTCTTTCTCTCTTTCTCTCTCTCTTTCCCGACCCCCTCTTGTTCTTTGCTTTCAAAACAGAAAGGATGGCAATCTTTAAGCTTCAGGTTTTTCAGACTTTAGCTCTTATCCTTTTGTTTTATTTACTTTTTCCCACTGAATCTATTATTACTATTCATCCATGCAGGGTCTAACCTCCTTCCCTAAAAGAAACCATACTACCTCCCTCTTTTTTTTTTCTTTGCAGCTGGATCAATTGTGCCTCCTACCAGCCTCCTAAAAATATGTCTATGAAACTTCTCCTAACTAGATCCTCAGACAAATTTTCCAGCTATATTTTACCCAGTAAGTTTCTCATGGGCCCATAGCTTTTTCTGGATAAGTCAGCTAAATTTTAGGTAGACAAGCCCCATGTGGTCAGAGAGGCCTAGGAAACCTACAGATTTCTAAGCAACAGACATGTAACCTTTAATTAGTTGCCTTTGGATTGTCATATTTGTGGTACACCATGGAGCTATGGATTTAACAAATCTAAGATGTAAAGTCAATAGGTACAATCTTACAGAAATGACAAACTCTAGACAGTTCTGCTGGCAACATTTTTTTCTTGGAATATGGCAAACCAGGTTCCTGAAGTAGTCATCCCAAATCTTTATTTTGTGCTTTCTAATACATTTTAATTTCTGTTTTCAACATATGTAAATTTTATTTCACAATATTCCATAGGTTTTTGTTTTGCCTTCTCTGACTCTGTGGTAAAATAGACTTTAACAGATAGGAGTGCATTAATCAAGGTTATTTCTCATGTCCACAGCATTCTACTGCTTATTGCTCCTGAGTTAGTTGCCTCTCATGGTACTTAATATTCCTCGCAAAAGCACCTTCTCTGGATATTTATGTACAGTTTTATTTTCTTTTAACTTCCTTATGATGTGCATGATAAAAAAAAAATTATATCTAGGGGCCTTAAACCCGAAACTGTCAGCAGGACCAAAAAGACTCTTCTTAAGCATATTGAGGAGCAAAAGATTTCTTTTTTGCAGGGAATCTTCTATGGAAGATTTTTAAAAATATACATGTGCTCATCCCACACTCAAGAATTCATATTATTTTGGTATAGGGAGTGGCCTGAGTATCTGTATTAGAAAGCTCCAGAAGTGATTTTGTTGTGAATTCAGAATGAGATCCTCTGCCAGTCTGAAGATTAACCACATCATGAGTAAGAGCAGAGTTTCAGAGACTAACAAACTTTGTACTGATTCTGGCTCCATCATTTTCCTCAACTTAAGTATCCAATAATTCTTTTTCTCAGGTGTATTCGCCACATGTAACTCATAATCCAGTCTAACTGAACAGTAACGTATCAAAAGCTTTAGATTTGTTAATTTGTTCAATCCTTACACTAGCTCTTTGAAGGGGAGATTATTCTCACTTTGCAGATATCAGAACACTGAGACTGAAAAAGATTAGGAATTTGCCCCAAATGAAACAGCTAGTAGTAACAGAATGGTCTATTGAATATGAGCTCACGAAATGTATTTTTACTTTCCAAAGAAAGGGTAAGGTTGTTTATAAATGTACATATAATGAAAAGATAAAATCAACTTTAGGAAATGAAGGAATTGAGGCTCAGGGAAACAAAAAGTAGGAAACTAAGGTCATACTATGATTTTATTGTTTCACATCTGTACTATGAAATCCCTCACACTTGCTATAAATGTGCCATGAATGTCACTCAAGAGAGAAGTGAAGTTGTTCTGTTATTGCTAGTG